CGGCTGCTTGTCAGCGGCGCCCGGTGTGCTTTGGCCTCCCTGTAGCTCTTGCAGAGATGCCCTTGGGAAAAGGCTGCTGTAGGAAAATCGGTTGCGTTTATGTGCAGACAAACCGCTTTCACTTACTTTTGTCTTGCGAACGTGGCCATGAGTTTAGTGCAAGTTGTTCTGCCTCAGAAAAGCTGAGGCGCTCTCTGTGCTTCACTTGTACTAACAGGCATGGCAGTGTATCGTGAAAAATATTCCTGTTGTCATCTTATGTTGCCTACTTCTGAACTGGTCAGGCACTCAGTCAAAGTGCAGCCAGAAGCAAATAAGCACTATGTGCTCAGTTAATGCAGCTTGTTTTCCATTGCCGCACTTAAATGCATCCCAACCTGTACATTCTCCTTTATGTGGTAACATAGGTGTAGAAATTTATGAGCGCCTTGATGGAGTGCACGCAAACTCACAGACTTATCCTCAGTCAGGGTGTTTAGCTGCTTCATAGTCCTAATCATGATTTTTTCCATATTTTCTATTTGCACAGTATAAGAATAGGACTTTATTGTACTGCTATACTTCCCCCTCCCCCTTGTTTTTATTTTAACTTTGGCAAAAATGAGGGAGGGGTAGAGAAGAGTATAGCATGTACAGAAATGAAAATCTTAGAGAAGGTTAAGAGTATTTCGGAAATTTTGCCTCTCTCTCAAAGTCCTGCACGTGCATATTAGCCATAGTGATTTCTCAAAGAAACTGTTTAGTATGAACTTAAATGTCATCCTATATTAGTGGATGTTATCTCTTCTTGTCAAAGGAACCTTGTCGTATGTCATACTTCCTCTTTCCAAACAACATTTTTTGTTCTGTTCCTAGGAACTCAAAGAGTCAATGATAAATAATAGAAAGCTGTAACTGACTTTTATTTTAACCAACTCTTTAAACTATTTTATGTAAATAATTTGAAACAGTTTTTCATTTTTATTATTTCTAGGATACAGTTCAGACTCTGAACATGCTTATCTAGAAATGAGTTAGGGATAACTGGACAGTGTGGCACCTGATCTTTAAAGTGGAAATTCAAGATGCTCATAGTTCAGCCCTAATTTAAATTAATCATATGCATCTGATGATAATTCAGTCTTCTTTGTGTTACCATATTACAAATTAGTAAAATAATATTAGAAAATGGAAGTGATTTTTCTATATGATTGAGGAGACATGATGTGCAGGAAATAATTATGTAGGAAATAGTTAGTATTTTGTTTTACCCATTGGTATGATAACAATTGCTAGGAAATTTGAAAAAGTGACCCAATTCTAGTCCTATCTGGAGCTGGAATTTTGGTAGTCATCTTGCAGTCCATAGAGAAAGAATCACAGAATGGTTTGGGTTGAAAGGGACCTTAAAGATCATCTCATCCAACCTTTCTGCTGTGGGCAGGAACACCTCAGACTAAACCAGGCTGCTCAAAGATGTGCAAGGGTACTGGTTTATGACAGCTATTTTCAAAGCTATTTTAATTGCCTCTTCTTGTTCTTGCTTTCTAGAGACAGTGGAAGAAATTACAATGCTTTGCTAGCTTGTGTCTTCCACTGTATTAATAATATTTTTTGTAACACTGTATTTAGAAAAACAATTTTCCAGGTCCTGTTTCAAAGAAAGTTAGTAAGTAGTAGGCCCTTTCTGAGAGTTTTCTTACCTACTTGGCTAAGATCAGGGGTTTGGTTTAAAAGTGCGTTCAAAGTGTTGCTAAAGTGGTACTTTAAAAATTGATCATCCAGCTTGCTATACTGGAGCACTTAGTGGAGTTATAAAATCTGGTATCCTGTACTCTAGGGGGTCTTAGAGGTTTTGTGCTTTTGCAGAGGCAGATTGCTAGAAATATTGAGTAAATAAACAAGATATCTATACTTGTATGTGTATGTTTGTGGCTTTTTTGTCTGGAGGAGACAGAGGAGTTGACAAAAATCAGCTTATAGGACGTAGTAACTAAAGAGGTTTCTTGCATCAAGCAAAGTGTAACACTTGGCGTATCTTTATTAGTCTTGCTTTTGTAAGGAGATACAAAATTCACCGCTTGTTAAGATTGGAAACTTATGTGGAACTATAAGAGGTCAGCTCCAGACAATGTCTAAACCTTGTGTTATCCCCAGTGTCCAAATGCTTTTTTTGTAACAGTGCTCACACTCAAGTATGTAAATAAATACATAAATGTGTGTATATAGTGTACATTTAGAAGAGTAATGCAAAAAATGCTCTCTTAGTCTTTATCACTTTTTCCTTCACTGACTGTTCTCTGATACAGGCAAAGCTTGGTAGCTTCACCTGCCATGGACCTTTTCACGCATCTCCATACCATTTAAGATCTCTCACTTCATGTTGAGATGTTGCCGCTAGCCTTTGCAGAGACTGTAATGGTAATTGTTACCTGTTTTAGATGTCAAAGCAAAAAGGTTTCTTTTTTTTAATTGCACTAGGTTTATGTCTGAGAAGATCTTGTGGTGTTATTTCCATGTCTTCCTCCTTACTCCCCTGTGACTTCCTCATCTTCCTCAGTGCCACATCATGAAGACAGGAAGCCCAGAAACTCATACTAGCTTCTGACATAGCTTTGTTTCTTTTTGCACCTGCTTATAAAGTATCCTGCAGGAACATATTGCTGTGTTGTAACTAATCACCCATGCTTTTCTCTGCTAGATCCACACAGGTTTGCAACACCAGATAATTTGGCCATGCCAGCCCAGCTGTTTGCCATTGGATGAGAAACTCCTCCCAGAGCTACTTCAAGAGGCGGGATACGTTACTCATATGGTGGGAAAGTGGCATTTAGGGATGTACAGAAAAGAATGCCTTCCAACCCGCAGAGGATTTGATACTTACTTTGGTAATGGTTAGATTCAACATTAGCAATTAATACAGTGTTAAAAATTATGAAAAACTCCATGATTCTTCTAATAACAGCAGATTTACTATTAGTATATAAGTAAATCAACACCTGGGCATGCATGTTTCCAAAGTATAACTGCTTAAAATAAAATAGTACCTTAAATACATGCCCAAGCTTTACAACTTGTGGAAGAAAACATAGTAATTACTGAGTGGTTCCTCGCTCCAAAAAAGTATTTCTCTCTTACAATCTGCATTGAATTTGGTTCCATGATGGTTAGAAGATTGTAGTGACTGGTTTGTTTTTATAAGTGTCTTTAATCTGAATGTTTTGTGTTAGATCAGACAGTAGATCTGCTTACTCTGCAAATAATGTAACACTTCTAAAAGCTGATGTTTTTTAAGAGAGAAATAGAGATCATACCACACTGTGTTCATGCTTTTTGAATAGAGTAGCATTGGCTTTCCAGAGACACTGGCGAGGAAGATAGTGTGAGAGTCTCTATAAAACAGTATCCCAAGGTCTGTTGCAGAAACTCGCAAGTTATGGAGTCAGATCCTCATATTAATAAAAAATAATGCCAGAATCAGATTGTCCAGATGTATGTCACCAAGCAAGTTGTAGCTACATGTTATTTATTCTTCTTCTTGCAAAGGGTCATGTCCCAGTATTGTCTGGATGTTTATTAGTTGCTGAAGGCCATGTTTCTGTTGTCTAACTGTAGGCATTCAGAGGAAGATCCTGGCTGTGCTCCATGCCTGTTATAGTCAGTGGTGAGCTAGACTTTAGGTGGAAAGAAATGTTCCCTTAGATTGTTTCTCTCTTTTGAATCATAAAGGAGCTTGGAGTTGTGGTTTCACAACTGAATTAAGCTAATATATATGGATTGTAATATAATGGCTCATTGCTTAAACATATATGCCTCCTCCCACCCCTTTGCAGGTACTTGGGATCTCTTTGGTGGCATAGATGTAGGCAGGCTGGCACTACTCCTGAAATCGCACTCTGGGACCAAGTAGCCTCTTAATGCAGGGGCCTGAATGCAGACTGGCCCTGGGCATGGTTTTGAGTGCCCACTGTGACATTATTTTTCAGAGGATGTAGCAGTTTAAAATCCTATAATGCTTGTGTAATTCCAGTAGGTGTTGATTGCAATTGAGGGGCATTTGATTCGTCAGCAAACTTGATGCAGTGTCTCCATCACTGGGCACTCAAAATGGCAAAATGCAACTTGCAGCTCTGAGTACACTGATGTCAGCAGCCTCCCCACAAAATCCTTCCTTATTTAGTGGCCAGCCCAGCCCTAAACCTTGACATATTTGAAACAAGAGCCATATTTTCCTTCTAAAAATGCAGTAGACATTTATATTGTTTTTAAAACAGAACTTTGTTCTTTCTGTACACACTTGTTTGCACAAGCTGCTGAATAAAAATTCAAGTGAGGTTCCTCCATTTTGGATTTTTGTCGCCAGGTTTTCTTTGGTTTTGCAGAACTTAAGAATATATTTTTTGCAGATTTGTCTGGTTTGTTTCAGGGTACTGGGAGGTAAATCTGAAATCTAATTTCCGAAGTAACAATTACTGGGAAAAAAATTTTGACAATATTTGTTTCTGGTTGATAAAAACCAAAGGCACTCAATGCTTAACAGAATAACACTTGATAGGAGCTAATATAAACAGCTAGAATTTTGCAGTTTCTTTTGGGTATCTTTAAATAGCAGTATCTTTTTACACCAGTTGGTGTCAGCAGTGGATCAGAAGTTGCTTCACAGGTGACAGAACATGCTTCATACCTAGAAGTTTTTGAAGAAATAAAAAAGGATCCAAACTTTGTAATAGAGAGAAGACTTATGTGAAAATACAAATATACAAAATCATACCAGCTGAAAATCAGAGTATTACACAGATAGATCACTGCCTTTGCTACCAGTGCATTAGTTTAATGCTAGTGTATTCAAGTTACGAATATAAAGTCATTGAACTGCTTTCAAAATGTTTTTTGTGTTTTGAAATTACTGCTTGCCTTAGCAATAAAACGTGTGAAGTATTAAATATTGAGCTACTTAGACCTGTCAAGGGATGTCACTGTAGATGGTCAAATGTTGGATTGTGTGTTTCAGCTCAAAACCATTAAAGTTTTGATGTTTATTTTGGACCTTTTTTTCTATTACTGTATCTGTTTATACAACATTATGTTGTCCTGTGTGTTTGACATCTTTTCCTGTTCTAGGCTATCTTCTGGGAAGTGAGGATTATTATTCTCATGACCGTTGTGTTCTCATCAAAGCGAAGAATGTAACACGCTGCGCTTTGGACTTTCGAGATGGAGAAGAAGTTGTAACTGGGTTTAAAAACATGTACTCTACTAATTTATTTACAGAAAGAGCTGTAAATCTTATAGCCAATCATAAAACTGAGAAGGTACTGTCAGCAGTTGGGTTTGATAACTTTAGCACTAAAGAATGTTTTAAAAAAGCTAATGAAATACTGATGGGGAGATCTGCACTTGAGCTGTATTTCAGAGCTTTTCAGCAGGGTGTGTAGAGCATGAGAAGTAGCACTGGTAAAATGTGCCTTGACTGCTGTCAGAATCAGCTTTGGCTCCACAGCCATGGCCTGCTACCCTTCTCCATTTCTTTTTTAGTAATACAAGTAATGAATGTATAGAAATTATTTAGCATGTAGTTTGCTCTTCTGAAAAGAGTATGGAAAGTTTAATGAGAGAAATTTCATAGAAAGAAACTGTTAACAACAGTTATGAAGAGAAGGTATACCTGATGATTTTCCACAGCTTCCAAATGTTCTTTATCAAAGTTTTATTAGTTTATGGTATTTATGCTGTTAGAAAGGAGAAGTGTAGAAGGAATCAAAACAAAGTGCTTGCAGCTGTTGATGAATCAGGGCTACTTTTGCTGCAGTAACTTTTGCATTTAGTACTTTACGTTCAACTAATTTCCCTTGTATCTCTCCTACCCTAGCCCCTCTTTCTCTACCTCGCTTTTCAGTCTGTCCATGAACCTCTCGAGGTCCCTGAAGAATACATGAAACCATATTCCTCCATTAAAGATGAAAAGAGGCGCCACTTTGCAGGGATGGTGACTCTTATGGATGAAGCTGTAGGAAATCTTACCGATGCTCTGAAAAAATATGGTCTTTGGGACAACACCGTTCTTGTTTTCTCTACTGGTAAGTTCATTTAAGTTTTCTTTCAGTAATAACTTTGATACAATGTCTAAGAAGCTGACTTCAGAGACATCTAGTCCCTCTGTCCTTCCTCCATATATTTTCTAACTACAGAAGACTTATGAAAATGAAACAGGACTCTATACCAGAAGGAGCAGTTTCACTCTCTGCTTTTATGGCTTTCTCAAGCATGATGGAAACTCTGAAGAAGTATGTGTGCAAATGGTGAATACTATTGGAGTAAAAACAGCATTGTAAAAACTGAGGAATACAGTGAAGGCATCTTAGTTGCCCCTGTGGTTACCAAGGATCTGCCAGAATTTAATCCTTACTGAGAGAGATCTACCAGATTAATTTGTCCTGAGCTATAGGTAGCTGTCTGATCAATCTATAAATTGCCAAATGTTGCATGAAACACAAACCGCAAGCGGTTTGAAATGAAAACTCTCTACTTCCCTTACTTTTGTATAACATGTAGTTTTGTCTTGTTTGAAATATTTCACTGGCACCTTTACTCCTATGAAGCTAAGGCATGTTAATAAAAAGCTTAGTACATTATGTTACAGTCTAGGCTGCCAAATTACAAGCTAAATTTTTGTAAGTACTAGCACACAATCTGGTTTCTAGATTATTAGGATAATGCAAGTAGTACATTATAAAGCAGTCTCACTTGTTTCCAAATTAGGAAACAGAACCTTTTTGAAATACGGCTGTTTGGCTGGATGTCATAAACATAACTGTTCTTGTTTGGTTGGGAGTGGGAAGTAGCCTTTCAATGCTTACAGTTGTCTTTTATGCAGGCTGTATGTATTAGGGCTGTCAAAATAGCAAATTAATTTTCTATGAATACTTTAAAAATCCCAAAACAACCCAACAACAACAACAAAAAAACCAAACCCCAAGTTTTGATGAAAATGCAGTGATGTGGTTTGAGTTTAGCAGCTGCTTCCTATAGCACTTGGAATCTTGGAATTTCATTTTGAGTCCAAACCTGTTTGCCTTTTGGTGTTACATTTGTGTCTAGGTTTTGGCTCTGACAGGATTTGATAACTCTTCTATGCCTGTTTCTGTTTACAATGTTTTCATATTTAGAACTGAATGTAAGCAAAACCATATGGAAAATCATACCAATATTTATTCCATATGGAAAAAATCCAGTCTTTGCTGGAGGGGTCCTGGTAGACTTATTTCAGTAATGTTTGTTCAGTACATTGTGGAAAAAAACCAAAGACCTCTGAGTTGGAATTACAGGGTATGAATGAATTAAAAAGACAAATTTATTTTTTTGTTTATAAAACATTTGTTTTCCCCAAACATTGACAGTATACCCTGCTTTTAACAGCGGTTATCTTGCAATCAATTACAGGTACATTTCAAGAGTCAAAGAGTCAGGAGAATCCAGTGTCTGCCTTATCTGATGGGACTTATCTTGAGTTAATTGACATTTTAAACTGCCAGGAGTGGGATTTAATAGGATTGAAATGCAGGAAAATTGGGCCTAGATCAAGAAGTTCAGGGGTCAGTGATTCAATTTCTTTCAGCATTCTCTCTTCACTTCAAACAACTATTCTTTACGGGCATAAAACATTGCATGCATTGACCCAGTTTCCAAAACCCAAATGTTGAAACCATTAAGGATTAAAAAAGAAAAGTTTAAAAAAAAAGATGGGGGGGGAGGGAAGGAGCATTAAATCTATTCAGCTTTTCTATATTATATTCATCACTCTTGCAGATGGTGTGTTTTAAAATTGGCATTAGAAAGTGGTTGAAAAGAAACACGAGAGGATCTGCAATTCAGCGTCTTGTTCAGAGAGCTGAGCTATGTGAAATCTCTCAGCTTTCCACCCCTTTGTAACTGGGAGTCTTAGTGTGCACTGGTAGCTGTAATATGGTTATATACTTACAGTATGATACTACCTTTAGGTCTCGAGGGCGCGCCTGCTCGAGGAAGCTGCGCTATCTCTCCCTGCCCCAAGTGCTTTCCTGGGATGGGATACTCTCCTCTTGCTTGTTATGGCAAGAGAGACACATTTTCCTCTATGATCAGGAATTCTCTCCAAGAAAGCTCTTCCCATGTTGTGAGGTTAAGAATCAATTTAAGGATTTAAATGAAGACTGCAATCTAGGGAAGGATAAATTGTATCCATAATTTGAATAAGCAATACCTTTGTGTCTCCTCAGCATAGTAGTTAAAGACACAGGATCATAAAAGTGCTCTGTTTTGTTATAAACCTGTGTGGTTTGATAACAGTAGGGTTGGAAATCTGTAGAGGAAAAAAAGTTAAGACCCTACTTTATAGTAGATCTACTAGATTCATTACTATTGCCTGTTTAGTTGCAGCCAAAATTCACACTTGCATGTTTGCATCTCTCACTGCTTCAAAGTTCTCCCCAAAAAAATCATTTACAAGTAGTCATTTGCTATTGTGTGCTATAGCAAGCAGCATTGCAACAAACATACAGTTTTCTGGTTGGTTCCTTCACTGCAAAGTGTCAACCTCAAATTAGAGATCTCTTTTTAGTGAGTGCTCACTGAAATACTCTAGATAGAGTCGATAGATGTAATCTGTGCTCTAATGCTAGATTTCCTTTCATTAAACTCTTCCATGGTTCTTCCAGTCTGTATATGTTATGGTTCAACCAGGATTGCCTTGAAAACACGCCAGTTGGCAAATGGAAATACAGTACTTTAAAAAAGAGTCTTGTAAAATGTGTAGAACTCCAGTTCCTCTTTAAAGTGGCCTGATTGAGACACCAGGCCAAAAATGAAGTAATCTGATCATTAGCAAAGTCTGACTCCATCAGTATATTGTGTAAATCAACGTATCTGGTGTCTTTTTTAACAGATACATAAGCTATTTCTACAGGGAAATAACAAAAAGGAAAAGATGAGCCAGTTCAGTTGTATGTAGTGTTGTGTTTGTGTATCAGGTAGTAGCTTGAAATAAAATTTGCTTTTATGGAGCACCTTTTATGTTGCAGATATAAGTAAGTACACTAATGAGATCAGTGATGAAAATGAGGTCATTGCCTGTTCAAAACGGATAAAAATGGATGCAGGATAAATAATTTTGGCGGAAGCTTACCAACATTAGAGCAAAGGAATCTGATCTCTAATTTCAGTTCTGTATTAAAGCTACTGTCCTTTGCTTTATTTAACTTTCAGCTTTTTAATATGCTAAATAATTTTGGAGCTAAACTTCTTCCTGCTCTTTCTTCCAGTATGTCTATTAATTCTGCTGTGGATTAGCACTGTAGTGTCTGGTAGTTGCCAGAAGAGGGCTTTGAACAGTAAAATATGTGGAACTCTTGAAGCCTTGGTTTACATTGCTAAGAGGAAACCACATAAATCCTTTTCATAATGGAGCATGTGACAGTGATGACTGTTTTCACTCCAAAAGAGGGTCTTTTTGTCATTTTAGAATTATGATTAAAAAGAGCACAGATCGGTTTGTACATATCCATATATTCCCAAATACTGCTCTTCTGTTTCTTGATTATTTAAGCTTGTTATTATACAGGCAAAACTTGCAGCTGATCACTGTACTTGCATGTCAATGTTAAACAGAGAAAGGTACACGTGGTTGGTGTTTTACACTCTGGTGTTGGCTTTTATTCTTTTTTTAAGCTTTTTCCATGTTGAAGTATGGGTGGTAAGAATAATTTTTTTAGAAATAAAAGAATATATTCTCTGCCGTATGATTCAGATAATAGTAATGAGACATGCAGACTATTTTGAAAGAATATATTATCAAAGGTGGACATGTTATCTTATCCTGGAAATTAATTTCAAAATGAAAACTGAGAAGATGTTGATAGTTAATATATTGATTTCCACCACCCCCCTTTTAAAATCCTATTAAAACACAAAATCTTTTGTAGAAAATGTTTCTTTATCTTCCCTACCTTCTAGCACTAACTCCTCCCCATCCACCCTGCTTTTTTCTTGCAAAATCTAACACTCCAAACCCAAGTTCCTGAACAGAGGTTGACCTTGTGCCAGAGACACTTGCTACTTTTTTTCGCTTTGTGCTTAAAAATTCTAAGTAAAGTGGAATCTTGAATTTTTCTTCCTGTTTTAATACCAGTGCTTAAAGTGAAGTTCACTTGTAAATGAAACTCAAGTGAATTTTGCCCAGTTGCTAGCTGGTCTTTTTTGTATAAAGCTTTGACTTAAGTGTGCTAATAATAATAATTTACCCTAGCAAATTTTTTCTCAGACCAAAATCAATGCTGAAAATAACTCATTTTACATGTTAACAAAGTTTAATAATTTCCCAGACCTCTCAAAAGATTGTCTTAAACTATGTTTACTACTAAACTGTACTACTTTGTTCTCCATAATAATGTTTAAGAAGCCATTATTCTTTGTGTCAGAATCTTATGCATCCAAATCAGTGATCAGGTTCAGTGCTCTGTCTCTGGAACAAGTCCAAAGTTTTCTCAACTATGTCTCATTTAACTTGCTTACTGCAGGCATATGAACAATTTGTCAGGTTATTCCCATTGTTTTGAGGTTAAAATTTCACTCTGTGTTTCTCTTGTGTTTAGTGATGGTGAATGCTAGCATAGACATGACACAGCAGGGTCTGCAGCTACTGAGACCTGTTTAATTACTGAAACTGCTTGCAATGAAAGCAGTCACCTGAAACTGCCTGCACTAGGATTGCTCCTATTACGAAAGCTGCACTTGGAAGAAAAAAAAAAACTAAAAAAGAATTCAATAGGATGAAAAAGGACATTGTGCATGCAGCTTTGTAGGGCTGAATTTGTAACAATTGGAATCTTGTGTACATCAAATGCATTTTTTTCATGAGATCAATTTTCCCTTTATTTTTTTTCCACTTTAGAAAAGTCAGGGGAATAGAGAGATAACTCTGGTAAGCTACAAAAAAAGCATAGCGGTTGATTTATCTGAGTACAACTCAGTAAAGTTGCTCTGTAAATGCTCAGTAAAGTTGCTCAGCAACTGGTGCTCTGATCCAGGAGAGGTGTTATGTTCC